AAAAAATTTAAAGACTAATATCTCTTCTCGACTAAATCAACCCAAGTGAAGATATACTTAATCCCAATCCTAATGAGGTGGATAATCAACCCCTTGCATTCTACAATATTTTTTTAGTCATACAATACTTGGAGAAAAAGAAAGAGTTTGAACTCGTAAAATTAAAATTTAATATGATAATAGTCATTTGATCAATGGACTTGACTACGGTATTGACACAAAAAATTTTATGCCGTACCTCTTAAAATTTGCTATTTTAATTGGTGTTTTTATAATTTTTATAGATTATTTTATAACTAAAAAATTTATCACTGTTATGGATGATTTATTACTTTTATGGATATTTTATCGTGATAACTATTTACCAATTTTCTTCAATACAAAAATAATTACCATTGTTTGGCTAATTTACAATATTTGTAGATTTTTTACCATTATTGTAGTAATTATTTTTATTATTTTTGTTGGTACGACAATAGTGGTAAAAATATCCATATTAGTAATAACAATAATTACAAAAATGATAACAAGAGGTATCATAACAATTTTTTGGCGTAAAATATATGTTTGGTCCCCAAATTATGTTTTTCGTGTTAGTTTAGTTTTAAAACTTTTAATTGTGTCAAATTGGTCTTTCAACTTCTAAATTTATGTTATTTGATTCAATTGAAAACAACTGCTTAAATTGATTAAGAGATATTCAAGTGACCACACTTAAAAGGGTCACTTCAGTTCCTCAAGTTTATAAATTGTATCATTTTGGTCCTTCAAGTTAACAGTTTGTGTAATTTTAGTCCTTAAAATTTTCAAAGAATGTGCGTCAAGTGTGATCATGTGAGATGCAAGTGATGATCTTCGTGAGTAATTCTAATTGCCTTTTTTATTGGACCAAAATGATATAAATTGAGAAGTCGAATGACCAAATTAACAAAATTAAAAAATTAAAGACCAAATTGATACAAAGTACATAATTTAAGGACCAAAAATATATTAATCCCCCTTTTCTTTTGGGAACAGTAGATAAGTCCTTTGATGATTTGCTTTACAAGTAAGAACATTTCCAACCTCTCCAAAATAGTTAATTAAAATATATTTAAATATTATATTATTCATTTTAGTTAATCATTTTTATAAATTCACTTCAATCACATTCTTTATTTTAGTTAATTATTTCATCTAATTTTTAATACTTTTTAATAATTTGAAGAGAATATAACATATATATATATAGAGAGAGAGAGAGTAAAAAAAAATAGAGAAAAAATTTAAAGAGATTAAATGACTCTCCACGTTTGGAGAACTATTAGTAAAAAATGGAAAATAGAGGTTGAGGTAAAGAGTGGCTTAAAGAGTGTTTTTAGTGTTTGCTAAGCTAAAATAGTTAAACGAAAAGAAAGGAAAGGAAGACTGTGTTTAGAGATGCTCCAAGCCGTATCCTGCAACATTGACACGTGTAATTTCATACTTTATTCTCGTACTCTTGCGGATGTCACGGCAAAACCTACTCTTGAGAGGTACCAGATTATATATCTCCCACTGCAACGAAACCATCAAAACTTTCTCTTTCCAGTGGTCTCCATGCCTCAGAAATAATCAGGAAATCCTCCTCATCTGCAACCTATTTCATTGAACCCAAACTCGATCCTTGTTTTTGTAAGTACCCTTTTGCGAATCCAATCAGAATCCGAACTTTTGAGTGTGTGTGAGAGAGAGAGATCGAGAGAGAGAATTGGGTAAGAAAAATGAGCTTGAATTGAATGGTTGGGTTGAATTTTGTTAGGCAGTTTTGAATTTGTTGTATGCTGGGTTATTCTATTGCAATCAGAAGGCTACAGTGCTTGGTAAGGTTTTTGGTAGGTCAGAACAAGAACAGGCTACATTCTACAATGACTACTGTACCTGGTATAGAGGCTGATGCTCTCAACGTGTTGAGATCAATCACTCCAACCCTTGACTTAACTCGGCATAAAGGGCAGGCTGGTAAGCTCTGTCAATCTTTCTGTCCTTTAGTCATTTTCAGAAATTATACTTTTACTCGTCTGCAATCGAATAAATGCTACATGGACCTAATTTAGGATCTAGTTAACATAATCTAGAGACCTAATTCATTGCCATTGATTAATTTAGTTGTGAGATTTAAAGTTGGATGGACCCACTTTTAATGTAACAACTAATTGTTTAGGTCCTGTTTTAGAGTCTCAAAATAGCATTTTTCTATGTGATCAACACCCCATTCTAATAACAGACCCATGTGTAGGGCTCTTAAACGAAACGAGATACTCGGACTGTGCGTGGAGCATTTTTTGCTCGCTCAAGTTCGTTCAATTTCTTATACAAGCAGAATATGAACAGAATTTTAGCCTTGTTTTAATACAAATCGAGCCTGAGCTATTCGGTTGGATCAAATAAGCTCGATAATTTTCATTTTTGGTAGGGATTCAATTTATATACCTTTTCCAGCTGGATATTGTCTGTATTGCAACAATACACTCATGATCCATTGCCTCATGTGAGTTTCATCCTAAACTCATATTCAAGCTCACATTAATAATGAACAAGCTTTGACTAGCTGAGCCCGAATGACTCGTTTTTAAATGAGCCAAGCCTGGACAAAATTTTAAGCGCAGCATCGAAGCCCAAGCTGAGCTTGAGTAGACCTTAAAAATTACGAGCTGAGTTGAGCAAATCAAAGCTTGCCCAAGCTCTGCTCGTTCAACACCCCTACGACCATGTGTGTGTGTGTTAACTTTAGATGGAAATTTTATTTTTTTGGGTAAATAATTATGATATCTAATTTTGTATTTTTGCTCTGCTTAAGTTCCCGTTAATCAAATTGTTATTCAGGCAAGATAGCTGTTATTGGTGGATGCCGTGAATACACGGGTGCTCCATACTTCTCTGCCATTTCAGCTTTAAAAATTGTTAGTTCTCTCAATCTCTGCCTTATTTGTCTTAATTACACTATTTCTTGCTATCTTTTGTGTTGGCATTTTGTTCATTGCCATTTTTATTTTTAGCAAAACACCATGTTGTTACATCACAAATCACGTAGTAGTTTGAAATTTAAAGGACTCGATTCTATTCTTTTTCTCCCCAGGGAGCAGATTTATCCCATGTATTCTGTACTAAAGATGCAGCTCCAGTTATAAAAAGCTATAGTCCAGAGTTAATTGTGCATCCTATTTTGGAAGAATCTTACAGTGTTAGGTGAATTCCTTTAACTATTTCACTTATTTTCTTTAACAAAGCCACTCGCTTTTTTTTTTAAAAGTTTGACTAGTTAATGTATAATCTGTATTGGGTGCTGATTTTGTGAAAAAATTATTTCAGGGATGAGGACAAAAGATCAATATCAGCTAAGGTTCTTGCTGAAGTTAATAAGTGGATGGAAAGATTCGATTGTCTTGTTGTTGGTCCAGGCCTCGGGAGGGACCCATTTCTTCTGGTATGCCTTTTTTAACCAAGCTTTTTCAACCCTAAATCTTTCTGTGGAGATTAAGATAGATTGTCACGTAGGTTACTGTATTTGCTCGATTGACTAAGATAGATCTATTGCATTGGCTCCTTTCTGCCAGGAAAAAAAAATCTTTGTTCTTTGTGTTGAACATTTCATGCTACCTGTTTGGTGTTCATACTGTGAGCTGTAGTCGTTTATAATATTTGCCTAACCTGTTCAGGACTGCGTGAGTGATATCATGAAGCATGCAAGACATTCAAATGTCCCAATGGTAATAGATGGGGTATGTGACTAGACTACAAACAAACATTTTTGCAACACATTCACTAGCATGCTTTTGACTGAAACTTTCTTGGCTGGTGATGTGGGTCTTTTCCAGGATGGGCTCTTTCTTGTTACAAACTGTCTTGATCTGGTCAGTGGATATCCCTTAGCTGTCCTTACTCCAAATGTGTATGAATATAGGCGCCTTGTTGAGAAAGTCCTTAATTGTGAAGTAGATAGTCAAGATGGAACAGAACAACTACTTTCTCTTGCCAAACGGTAAATTCTGTATTAAGTTCCTTCACATCATGGTCAATGCATTGAGCAGTCAACTGATCGTTTCTGTAATATTCCGAAGCACCCAACCCAATATTTTTAGCAAATTTGATATATAATTTTCAGTAATGGAAGCATTGACAGTATATGTTCGCTGGACTTTTGATGGATAACATGTTATGGGATTAAATGGAACATCCCCGTGTAGATTTGGTGTGAGAAGGAAGGGGAGAACTGAAGCAACTAAGCAAAAAGAGAGAAAAAGGGGTTTGGAGAGTGCATGGGGGTTGCAGAATGAGGGCATGGTGCATCTGCCAAAACAAGTTTTATGGTATATCAAAAAGAATCTGTTTCTGTCGATGAATTGACACAAGCACCGTTGACGACTAAACCTCCTTTCACACACAATGATAGGCAGTGGAAGTGAGAGAACCACTTTGCTGTTGGGAGGATTGCTACATCTATTGCAGAAGGTTTTCACACAGGCTCAGTACCCAGATCAGTTCACATATGAGGAGTGCCAGATTAATGCTGAAAAGTATGTGTTCTAAGTTTTGAAAAAAGAGAGAAAAGGAAGAAGATACCCTGAAGTATATATTAGTTTAATCTGGGGTGGGCTATTATTGTGTTCATGCATGTATGAAACAGTTATATGTGTTTGTCATAAATGACATTAACTGGTGCTCTATGTGGAATGATAGAAGGTGTTTATTTCAACTCATGTTGTGTAGTATGAGCATTTTGGAGGGTTTACAACCTGTTTATGCTATAATTAATGTTTTCAGCTAGACTCGTGTCAATGGATTGAACTGGTTTATTCGTACACCATGCACATGTAAGACGATGCATTGTAATTCACAAGGGAATCACCATATTTCAGTTTGTATTCCTCTTTTAATCTACAGTTGTATTACTGAAAGAGGCCCTCTTGTGTTGGTCATCATTAATGACTGCAAGTAGCCTGGTCCTGTAGTGTAAGAAGAAGTTTATGAAATATGTGGAGGAGTTAGTTTAATTGGAAAAACGATTCACCAGAATCCATTGCTTTCAACATACCTTCTTGTGGTTGCGAGTTGAAATTCTTTTACTAACAACATTGTATTAAAACCACTGTTTACGTTCATCTTTTTCCCCTTTTAGCCTTCTCTTTTTCAAAGGTCAGTTTTCAGTTGTATATCATTGAACCCTTGGTCCACCATTCCCTCCAGATGTCTTTTTAATATCTTTAGCTTACATAGTTGCATCATTATGTACCTTTACCTCTCATCAAGTCCTCATGTAGTGTAATGAGCTGATTAATGTCTCTTGTTGATCAGGGTTGGTGGTGTGACCATTCTCAGGAAAGGAAAATCTGATCTTATTAGTGATGGTGAATCAGGTATCATCTTGCTTGAATTCATTACTATTTTTCATGTGTGTGGTTCATGTTCTCTCGTAATTGTAGGTTAGTAGTTTCATTTGCTAATTTTTGTTTGTGTAATAGATGGGTATTGCTTAAATTTGAGTTGTAAAGTGTGGGTCACTCCTTTTGGTATTTCTGTGATTTCCTGACGGTGTCCAGCATATGTGACACTTTTAAGGGGAGTAGGACCAATAGCTTAACCTGTGGCTGCAGGCATTAAGGCAAATATGCTTGACTAAATGCTCACGCAAATGCAGACAAACAAGTGGCACTGATTTAGTGGGACATCTTTTGTCGTAGTGACCTTCTTCAACGTCACTGAGATAATATATTCCATGGCTACATAACACTCTCACAAGACACTAAACAAGTAGAGGCCCTTTACACAAGAGAGAACAATGAGACAGATCCTCTTCTAGAAAGATCCACCTCATTGTATCTGTGGGACTTGTCTTCTTCTCTCAGTTTCACTACCTTTTTCAGTGTCTTCTTGGATTTTCCTCCAGGTAGAGCATGGCTTAAGGTCAGTATTAATCATTGATTTAGAGGGCTCTGAGATACACATTGACCAAGGCGCACTATCAAGCGGTACGACCTAAAAGAAAAAAGTTGAATATGGTGAGAGATTCAGGTCATGTCGTGGCATCATAGAACCGTATAGGCCGAGTCGGTGACGATAGCTCAACAACTTGGGATTGACTCGAAGACGACTTGGCCGAGTGGTGCGAGACTCGGGGTTGATACGTTTACCATACTTGGAACCTTCTCTTTCTCTTTCTAGGGGAACAAAATCCATTGATGAAGAGAGAGAGAACATTCAGAGGCAATTTTGATAAATAAATGCAATAAATGAGGAGAAGGCATTAATGTATGGTTCTGTTTTCTAGAGATTGCAGTATGAATTGGCTGGCTGCATGGCATTTCCATGATTCTATTGTTCAGTTATCCTGTTTTCCAACATCTAGCATATTGAATCTATGACCCATAAGTCAACATAACAGTTGGCTTGTCAGAGTAGGCAATCTTTTGAAAAACAAACAAACAGTACAGTTGGCTTGTGACCAGATTCGACCAACAGGATGCAATTGAGATCTGACAACTAGATGATCTAGGGCCACTGAATCAAAACTAACCTCTATTTATGACGATAATAAGTATGTTTTTGCCCCTATTTGACCGCGGTGTGAACAACATGATATAACTTGTCTCTTTTCAGGGTAATGTTACTCTTACCATTATGATTTTGAACTACATTCTTATGGTTTATGCAGTCAAGTCAGTGAGCATATACGGTTCTCCCCGTCGTTGTGGTGGCCAGGGCGATGTACTTTCTGGAAGGCAAGTGATTATTTTCTACTGTTAGCTGTAGTTAGCTTCGTGAGGGAAAATGTTGTCATGTATATTCTGTGCGTTTATGGAAATTACTGAGACTTCCTGAATTTAATTGTTGCTTGTTATTGTGAGGCATTATTTCACTTGGGTCTTTTCTTCAAATACTGGGGTGTGGTTTTTTACTATTGCATTGTTGTCATTGAGCCACATTACTGAGGCAGGAAGAGGGTACCTTAATAGGGTTGTTGCGGTTGTACATTTATGTGAAATGTATTCCATAGCGCATGCTGCACAGCGTGCATGTTCCTAATGCTATTAGATGGTTTCTAGTTGTATTTTTTGTTTTTCTCTCTAGCAATTCTATAGGCTTAGTTGTTGGATTTGCAAAAGAAGCTAATTAGTTATGTTTTAGCAAAAAGGCCTGAAGTTACAAATTGCTGCAATCTTTTCTTAATCACATTTGACTGGTTAAAATAGGGTTGATGTGTTGAGCTGTCTACATATAGCATGATGATCATAATTCATTATTATTCTTTTGGTGCCAGTGTTGCAGTATTCCTATATTGGGCCCGTCAGCGTGTTGCTGAATTGGAACCGAGGTCGAACCCGACAATGTTGGGGGGCATAGCTGGGTCCATTTTGGTGAGGAAGGCAGCATTGCTTGCATTTGAGAATAAGAGAAGATCTACCCTCACTGGAGATATCATCGAGTGCTTGGGAATGAGGTAGTGATTACTATTTACTCAATAATGTTCATGTAGAATAGTTCATCAGTCTAGCAATTTGCTTTCTTTTTATGCAGTCTGGAGGATATTTGTCCAGTTAACCGACATCGTTAATTGGGATCAGGTGGAATCAACTGTACTCCCAAACTTCACTCCTATTCTTCTACCTTGCTCCCTTGTTTTCTTCCTCGTTGTGTGTACAAACGATCGATGATCTTGTATGTCTTATGTAATGTTGATACAAATATCAGATTAAGTGACTTGTGGCAACGCCTGAGGACGAAGCGTTTACAACTTGTAATAGAGGCTAATTTTCTTTTTGACGAGTTAACTTATTGAGAATATAGTTGTACACAGAAAAGCCTGTGCAATCGATCTACTTGATGCTGATTCGAGCAACTATACACGAAATACAACAATTTGTTGCCGCAATATTACACAATCATCTGCATTCCTACTAGAGTCATGAGCCACTAATAATAGTTAAGACGTCAACGGCGACACTCAGAAACCAACATGTCATCCAATGACTGGGGAGGGAACTATGATATCTAGCATTTCAGCATTTCTGTGACAAGCTACGAATCTGCAATTCCCCAATGAGACAATTGTTGAGAACATAGTAAAGTGTAGTGATGGAATTAAAATTTCATATTTTTTTTGGTGGGTGGGTTTTTTTTTTTTTTTTTTTTTGGGGGGGGGGGGTGGGGGGGGGGGGTGTTTGGGGTTACATACAGAGTAAGCATCCTGCTACTTATCATGTGACATCTCTCTAACATAGAAAAGTGATAATTATAAAAGATGGACTCCTCATTCCATGAACTGAAGGTGGTAAAAATTTCATCATACATATATGTACATCTTGAGGTCTCCTATTTGGCCTTTACTCTCTTTGGCAAATTTTCTTGTTCATTGACATTCAAGCAACCTTCCCCATCAAACCCTTCTGCAAATGCCATTTCATCAAAGCAATGGTCAGTAAAAGAGCTAAAAATGAGGAGAAAAGTTAAACAAATTCTGATTTAGTTTGTGTCCCCTAGAAACTCAAATAACCAAAGCATTTCTCTTAGAAATTAAACCGATTGGGCCAGTCACAATTGGTCTAATGTCTGGGTGCGTATGGCGGTACACTGAGACCACCTTTCAAGTCGGCTGAAAAGGAAAGAAAAAAGGGTTTCGTCGATTCCCACTGGTTTTCAATTCTTTGACAGGATTAGGAGTGATGCAACAAGGAGGGTAAGGCACTATCTATATTTAACTTCATGTGGAAAGTATGATGATCAACACTCACATCATTACTCACGGTCATGGTCAAGCCACACCGTCCCTGCTCAAGAATCTTCAGGCGGTTGCTGTTGCTGAGGCCACATCTGCTGACCTATATAAGGATGAGGCTGCTGGCCATAAAGGGCTTGATCCACAGGCTTCCCCATGTACATCCCCAGAGCTCCAGCCTGCGAAGCATGTTGCTGTGGCATATAGTAGTAAGGAAGACCCTCAGTTGGACCTCCAACAGGAAGAGTCCCTCTTGGGATAGATGTAAGTACCTCATCTTTCAAATCTTCCCTCGGTACAATATCAACCAAGAAATCAAATATATCAGTCCTTGTGATGGCTGCTGCAATGTCATTCTTCTGAAGTGTCCTCCTTTTGTTCTCCTCGGTGTGATTCCAAGACCGTAGAGTCAACTCAAGGATGAACATCTCACAGGCCCTGGCAAATATGACAGGAGCCTCAGCTGCTATCATTCTAACATCCTCATCTGCTTTCATAATCTTCTTAATCCTAGCCAATGGAAGGCTATGGTTCTTAAAATCAGTTGTCTGCTCGATGTCTTGATACTGGCTTGTCCAAAAACTCTGGAGTTGTTGCTGCAATTGCTGTTGCTGCTGCTGCTGGTGGACATGCTGATAAGCAAGCTGATGTTGTCCAAACTGAGCTGGAGGAGCAGAGAGGCCAGATGTACATGAAGGAGGCGGAACTGATCCAACGGATGCAGGGGGAGAAATCATTTGGTTAGCTTGATATGGAGCAACAATGTATGGCATCTGAATTGAGCTACCCACCACCCCAGTAACTGGGGGCTGTCCAGGCCCTTGATGATCCATTTTAAGAGTGTATCACTGGGAATCTATATTCCCCAGACATTTTGAATGTCAAACACAAACAAGAAAATAAGGTTTTGAGAATGAAACATAACATTAAGCATTTCATCATAAAAAAATATCAGGCCACTGCTAAGCCTCTCAAAAACCCAACGGTATAACTATATAACAGATAAACAGAAAAACATTGTCCAAATATATGCATATAAACCAGTAAAATGCTACTTCTTCTGATAGTGAGTGTACCAAAAGTTAAATTCATCCCATTACAGATAGCCTCTTGGAGATAATCCAGGTATAAAAACAAATAATTTAAGCCTATATATGGTATGTTATGAGGAATATCCAAATCCTTAGCTCTTAAAATCCTCTTGGATTATTGACCCAAAAAGAAAACCCCCTTCAAGCAATTTCAACATGCTGTTTAAAAGTGTGAATTGCCACCCTTTACGAGCATCTATCTTGTTTAGATTAGTCGAAAGACTTGATAAATCTACAAAACATTTACAAAGATTTAGTGTGGAGACTTTTAATCCATTAAATATTTTCAATAAATCTACAAAACATGATTTGTTGAATTCAATGGAGATTTTCCTCCCAACTCGGGAACTGTAACATCTGAAAAGAAATCAACACCTCAGTGATGTTGCTCACGCGAACATATTTCTCACGAACACAAGTAATTAAACAAGAAATCCAAGCGTACAATGAAGATGGATTCATATGTACATAGTCTAACACAAAATTTTCAGACATTCCCCAAATTTAACCCTTGAATTCAGTATATTCTTGTCAGCACTCTTTGTCAACAGGGATCAAGATGGGTAATGGCCCCTATTTCCTTTCGTTCAACAGTACACAGACACAAAATTACCACCACCCAACATAAAAACTGCCATAGAGGAACTTCACACTCTAAATTTATCTATTGAAGTTCACTTGTAGGGAATAAAATACCTGAAATTATATGTGATGTATCACATAAATAACCACCCTTTTGATTTTAGCTCCAAATTATTTGTGGGATTGTATATCATGTGTGTGTGTGTGTGAGAGAGAGAGAGAGAGAGAGAGAGAGAGAGAGATTAATGGAACGTCAAAATAACAACAGTTTAAAAACTAGTAATCACATATAAACAGCTATAATTCTGGATTTCTGGCTGACATAAACACATGCATGAACATATATGACAAAAATTGATACCTTGACACAGCTCTATTTACTATGAATTCTTGGTCTTGTTCAACGATCAAAATCCTACCACAATACCTATCGAATGATCAGAAACTTAGTTCAAAATTACAGAAATTTCCAATATATACAAATGGGATTGCATAAAAATCCAACCTTTATGAACAGCGGGTGAGAGGGATTGACTAGGGTTCGAAATAGAGAGAGCTAATTGAATAAAAGTGCATGTTGAGTCATATACATACATACACCTATATATATACGGAACAGGAAGAAAGCGCCAGTCTGGCTCCTCAAACTCAAATTTCCAACCCACTCAGTAATCAAAATGACCGACAACCCTTTTTGTAGAACAATTGAATTTGAATCGAATTTTTATTAATTCGAATTTGAATTTGATTTTTAAATACGATTTAATTATCCGAAGAATTTTATTTTCGTATTCTATGTTTGAATTTATTAATAATATAAAATTGGATCCGATCTAAATAATTTAATATAACTAAAATTTAATAAACTACATCTAAATTTCAACTATTTTTTTCTTTAAATAATCACTTCATTTCTTATATATATATATATATATATATATATATATATATATATATATATATATATATATATATATATTTATTTATTTATTTATTAAAGCGGGTCATAATATTGGATCAAATATAAATATATTTAAATTTGAATCCATGAAATATAAGATAGTAAATTCAAATTCAGAGTTTGAATTATTGGTAAAAAATATCAATTCATATCCAACTACTGAAATTCAGATCAAAGTTTGATCTATTGACATACTTATTTATGCGGTGCTACTTTACTAGTTTTTATTTTTTTTAAAAAAATATGAAGTTTGAATGTGATCACTTGTTTAGTCAATTTACGGGTTATTGATAAGAGTTAAACTTACAATGTTAAGGATTAATAGTACTTTTAGTCTTTAAAATATATATTTTTTGTCAGTTTAGTCCTCAATATATCAAATTTGCCAATTTATATAATTTTGATCTCCACATAAACAGACCGTTAAATTTTTTTAGCGGAAGTGGTCACGTATAATTTTTTTAGACGTATCACGGACTCAATACATGATTATTTTGTCAAAAACTTAACGTCTATATAGGAATCAAAATAACATGAATTGAATACTTTAGTGATTAAATTGATACATTAAAAATTAAACTAACAAAAAATTCATACTTTAAAGATAAAAAAAAATTATTAACCCTGATCGGAATATATACAAAGTCCAAACTAACTTTTTATATCTACCGTGTGAATTGCTTCTTCAGTTGCCTTTCCTCCATTAAAGCAAAGCATTCAATTAGTATCAATTTAAGAGAAGAATCATATAAAGGACTAATAAACCCTCAATGTCTAGATTTTTTTACATTTAATAAGGTTTTACTTTGAATAAATTAGAAAAAATTTACCACTAAAAGGAGGGAATATGTTAGTGTCTTTCTCGTCTTGCCATCTGGTATAAAGTTCAAATTTCACTAAGTTCCCCTCCCCTATACGACTAGTGACCCAAAAAAAAAAAAAAGGAGATAATACAAGAAAATATTAATTTTTTTTGGCTTTTTTACAACTTTACAAAGTTGCTTTTGAGCTCGTCAACTTCCTACGGGTTCTAGATTCTTATTTTAAAAGTGACAATTGTTAACAAGAACAAAACTATTGATTTGTGGATAGTTTTGACTTGCATTTTTTAATGGCATGATTCTATCAACACGAATAATGGGTTGTATAAAAGGAGTAATCAACAGTTGTGTCTATTTATAAAAGACCACTTTTCCTATTTAGGAATCCGCCCGATTAAGGAGTCGAGGGTGAAAAATAATTTGAATGCAACACGCAAAGGCAAATTAAAACGAGTTTGATTAGTGTCAATCAACAAATTGCGTGTTTGACATGGAAACTCAAGGCCAACAATTGGCTTATTTTAGGAAATCTTGTCAATAGAATTTTTTTTTTCCTTCACATCCCATTTTTCTTTCTATATTCTCAATCTAACCTATTTTTTCATCATACCAAATAAAGTGTTAATTAACTAATTTTTTATTAACAAAATATAAACTATGAGAGATGGTAATATAGGTTTGAAATGGGTGACCTAACTCCAAGTGGACTTGTTTATGACAGAAGCATATTCTATACAGAGTACATGAAGTGTGGGCTAGAAGTTCCTTCTAGAATGCAAGAGATTAAGCTCACAATTCCTCTCGGCCCAATCACCTTGGATTTGCAACTTTTTCTTGCCATCGGAAGTTTTTAGTTCTCTCCCAAAATTAGGGTGCAACTCGAGAGGGTTGGATAATCAACTCTAGTATAATCTTATACATATAATCTTCAACTCTAACTTTAACCCTATCTCTGGTTGAACAACTCAATCCGAGCACTGCCCGAGTTTAATTCGGGCGAGCTCAGGTTGAATTCAGATTAATGATTTTGAGCTATTTTACGGGTTGAATTCAGATTGAGTCCAAAATAGACTTGTTGTTCTAAACCTGATACATATATTACATAATATTCACATAAATTAACAACTAATAACGTCAATCAAGTTTTTAACATAAAAATTATATTATTTAGAACTCAATGTTTGAGATAATGCAACTACAACCATACAGAACGCAAATAAACACAACTAGAATCCTTGTACAAACATAGAGTTCACTGCTTAAATAGTGAGTGAGGGAGGCGCACAATGAAGACTTTAGAACAGATTAACCGAGGACTTCAAAATAGATTAATCATAGATTTAAAAATGTATTTATATGGTTATAAATATTCGGGTTGATTCGGGTTCAACTCGGTAACCCGAGGGGTCAACCTGAGACCCGCTCAAGTTGAATTCGAATTAAAATTTTTTGACCCAAACCCAACTCAAGTATTAGAAACTTTAGCCCAAACCCTAATTTTTTCAGATTATCGATCGGGTTAGCCCGCCCAAGTTGCACCCCCTACCCAAAACATGTAATCAGAATCGGATCAGATCGAATCAACTAGTTCAAACGATAAATCGGTGAATCGGACTCTTTGTTGGTCTGGATAAGTTATTGGGTTGTTTATGCACTTAAACCGTTGTTAAACCAAAAAATCATCTGACTTTTTGAAGAAATCATCAAAATGGGGTGATTTTATGAAAATCAGGCGGTTCAAAAATGACTAGCATAAAAGTTCTATTTTGGGCTAATTTGCCCTAAAATTTAAATCGATCAGTCTCTCTCTCTCTCTCTCTTCCAAATATTATGCAATTTAGCTCTTACACCCCATTGGACTATCCAACACAAAATCAACATTGAAAAAAAAGTTAATCTATCGATCACATTATTTGGTCATAAAAACTATTAAGAGCTGACTTTATATGTCTATAATATGCCTATCCAATTATCTTTCACTTTTAAAATAAATTATTGATTTGATTGAGAGTGTGAATCCTTCTCCATTATCGTGGAGACATGAATAATTTGTCGTAAATTCATGAACAGGAACTATATAGACAGATAGATTCATGGGTCTATGCATATCAATAGAAAAGTTGAGATATGAATGATTAACGGGTATTTATGTAATTTCAAACTGCGATCCAAAGTCCAAGCTTTTATTAAGACAGAGAGCTCAAGGCTGTACATTGATTGATGCTCATGAACTTGTCAGAAAGCAAATTATAACAGGGAAACAAAACAACCAAACCACTCTCTCATTTTTAGTAATAGACACCAACCAGCTCTCCTCCACTTCTTTACATGGTCCCGCCACTCATGCCACACCATGATGAAGATGAAGACCTCTCAATTTTTACAGAAAAGATGGTGTTCTACTTTGTGGCTGCAAGAACAGCTGGCCCTTCCACCTGAAATATTATCCACCAACTTTACAAATCAGCAGTAGTATAGGAATATGTGGCTCAAAGTGCATTTATTCAAAGCTGGTATAGGTTTATTGCCACAAATATCAATCAAAAATCTTCTTGAACCTTCCTATCCTATCTACATATGTTTGTTCAGTATACAACTTTGCTTTCTTTTTTGGTACCAATTTTGGGTCATCATCTCATCCATGTCATACAGTTCAAAACCCTCTACAGTAAAGCACACCATTGTTGGAACCATAAAAAAAACAAGTCTTTTCCAAAAAATATCAATATAGTTTTTTCCCCAAGATTTGTTTTTGATATCCTCAGTTTGTGCTTTAACAGAAAATATTGACTTTAATAGTGTACAATGTAAGAACAAGATTGACGTAGCTACTTCCAAGTAGTTGGGATAAGTCTGTGTTGAGTTGGGAATTTTCCTATGGCTAATTTTCATAATATGAATGTATGATTCAGACAGGTTAAAAGATGATGGCCCCTGAATGAATCTAATTGCACTGGGACCTGAACATTGGATGTCAAGGATTGTATGCATAGACTAAAACATCATGTTACCATGAATTTGGCTCCCCAGATTTCCTCCTCGGTGGCAGGAACAGCAGTGATCTTGTTCTTAGGATTCTCGTAGCTTCTCAGTTCTCCAATTGCCGTCGAGAAGAAACATCCTGCAAAACATAGTGGCACCATTGTCAACCAAGAGTAAGAATTACAATAAAAAAAAAATATTAAAGTGATTTGATTTAGTTCTTCATGTCCACGTCGTTACAAGTCATTATGCAACTAGTGTGTTGAAATGGGAACAATTGATAATAAGATGTATATTACAATTGTCAATTTATTTGACCAAAGCAACAAAGTGATTTGCCAACCCACCTTGTGGGAAAGAAGCAAGTGACTTGCCACAAGCCCCTTTAAGCAAATCAGCATCATCAGCAAATGCCACATACCCATCAGCAGTGATTCCCCAATACAGGGGTACCTTACCAAACTGATCCTGTCACAACAATACCAACCCAATTGTTGGTAAAGATCAACTAAAGCAATAAAACCATCAATGAGGAAATGGCTGGTGGAATCACTTACAGTGGCCACAAACAAGGTAGAAGTGGACTTGTCAAAAACAACAAAGGCAAAGTTCCCCTCAAGGTGTCCAACAACATGGTTAGGAGGGTAAGGTGCCCGATCTCGGAGAGCCTTGTAAGCCTCAATGACCAACACCGCCTCGTTTGCAGACTTGGCAAGACCATATTGTTGCTTCAGACTCCCCAAGTTGTCAAGTGCTCCCTCGAACAAGCAGAATATCTCATCCTTAACTGCAAATGATCTGCCATTCCAATCACCCAAGTTCGGTTTAATAATCAGTGATCATTCAATTCCAGATAGACAAATTAGCATCAGTTTTTTCCAGACCTAGTATTCTGCTTGCAATAAAGGATAGGCAGCCTAGAATGACTTGAATCAATCAATGTTTAGGATTAATTATCTAACAAATTGTGCTAAATGGCTATGATATGGTTATTTTTTCGATTTTTATTTATGATGGATTACCATCTCAATCATGCACCTTTGGGTTCTTAGTTATATTATAAATTCTGCCGCTGCATCAGGTAAATCAAGGTCCCTTGTGAGAATTGATTGTAAAATCTAGATGGTAACCTGAAGTTTTCCCAATTGACCTATACTAACAGGCTATGTTTTCAGATTATCAAACACACTTAAACAAAAAGTTGTTCTACCATCCATAGAAATCATAAATTTAAGCAACTAAAATCATGATATCACGCCAAGTTTTTTTTTATGATATTCTATTAGAACATTTGGTTTCTTAACTTTTAGTGCACAATAACATTGTCAAACCTTCCAACCACCCTCAACTACAAAATGGAATACCATGAGCCTTATGGGAGTCCTGTTGTTTATTTGATACAAGAAATATACAGAGTCGTGTTAAAAATTGAAAGCACAACGATAGAACCAAACAGATTATGATATTGGGAGGTAGGGCCACAGATGGTTGGATAAAGATAAGAATTTTGCAGGACCCCATGATTGAAGTTGCATTTACACAGACCAGGGGCAGGGGTGAAGGAATAAATTTTCATACCAAACAATGAGACCAAAGAAAAGTAGGGTGATAGAGTGACCCACCGAGAAAATGACAGTAGCCTAAACAACCATTGACCATCTAGAGAAATAAGGATTTGAATTCTCGGATGATTTATCATTAACAAATAAATACAAATTACAGTCAATGAAATATTGAGTCCCAAAAATTCATCCGCTGCTGATAAGTTTGATAATTGAACCGAGTTACTCAGGCTCGACTCGTTTCGGCCTCAGTTCGTTTTGAAACAAGCCGAGTTTGAATAATTTTTTAAACTCATTTGGCTCAAGCTTGCAAAACTCGATTTTTTTATATGTAAAATCGTTGAGCTAACAATTTTTTAATTGACATGCGACTCAATTATCGGCCTAACTATCGGGATGGTAGAAATCGGCTGATAGGAACGAGTTTGACTTGGACAGTTTGTTCTTACTAATGAACTAACTCACACTCAAAGATCTTCGCATTCTTAATTTACACTAATGAAAATTTTACATTATACTCTTAGTCAAACAAAAATATAATAGTATGCTCCATTTTAAGAAAATTGTGCACAAAATTTTAATTTAAAAACTTAAAATTAATTATATGTAAATAATTGTATATAAAAAATAAGATATTACGACAAATATGATAAAAAAAATTTGTAAGAAAAAGCAATGAATGGTGTCATTCACCCTTTTTCCTTTCTCTAATTTCTAGTTCTATAAATCTGCCATGTGTATGGGCATAAGACACGGCTACGGGTTGAAGAGAGTTCGTGACACACGTACGTGGCAGAAAGGAAAATGAACACTGAACCCCACAGAAATACATTGTTTATGTCGCCCATAAGTTCACTCGCACTCCCATGGGCCCCTCCAATAGAACCAATCATAACCATTGATTGATAATCATTTAAAAAAAAAGAAAAAAAAATTCAAAACTCTATTACAAAATTTGAATTGAGAATTAAAATGTGTTTCAAGCGTGAATGATTATCATAGAAAAAATTCCCAATTTTGAAAATCCATAGTTTTTCAAACACAGTCACAATTCTAGGATTCCTAAATTTGATAATGGATTATATTAGTAAATTAAGTTAAAATAATATTATTGTTAAGAGAGTCAAAATATAATATGAACCGTTACTATCACCCGAGATTAGAGCACAAATCTTTTTTAGTCACTTTTTTTATAAATTGGTAAACCTAATACAACACAACTAATACAGAAGATGAACCCGATAAGATAAAGACTCATTAAATACGAATAAATATTGATGGGACTCTAGGAAAGCTAGCAGCTCCCAAATTGACACATATAAAGATGTAGTTGTTATGAAACCCAAAAGGCGCCGAAGAGTAATGGTTCAGAAGAGTTGAGTACACGGATTGACACCACAATTTAAGACTGACTTAACAGTAAATTTATGGCGAAGTGACTGAGATAGTACTATTGATTGTATCCTCGATATCCAAACTTGCAATTATGATTACAGAATATTAATGGCTATTGCGCCAAACTTATTTTCTCGACTTATTTCGAGGTACTATTCCTTGAACATTGAACGCTCGAAAATAGATGTTAGATGTCGATTAGAGAAACTTAAGTATCCGAAGATAGTCATAAGTGTTTAGCATAACCCCAACACTTGTCTTGTCATCCGATCATTAAAGGCATAATAATTTACGCTAAGAACATTTACTATGCGTGAAAAAGGACGCATGTCAATAAATGTCAAGTCTATCCTTATACAAATATGAATACTTCTAAAACAAATAAATAGAGTTAAAACTGAGAAAAAAAAAACACTGTACTTTACCCTCTAAACTTATATCGGCTTAAGTTTTAGAGAGATAAGTCGGGTGTTTGGCGAACCTTTTTTCTGACCCTATGATTGTTTTAGGTTCGTCGTCGTGGCAGTTGTTATCACAATCTCTTACGAGAAATCTCCGTGCAAAAACCGACAATAACTCGCTGCACTGCTTTCAGACCTTAATGAGAAAGTTGAAATTGGAACACCTAGAGCAAGCTATCCCAAGAAGATTATGAGATGTTCCAACCACCTCTTTTTTGGATTCAAATATGAGATCTCACTCAACTTACAAAAAAAAAACTAATAAAAATTGTAATCAAGCAAAACAGTGTTAGTTCTTCAGTTTTGTTTGCTTTAATTAGTATTATTTTAATTTGCTTAATTCTTTCTGTAAAATTCGCAATATCAGTTGCTCTTGACCGTCCGATCAACAGACTATCCATCCCAACCGCATCAAAAGATGATCAGACGGTTGAGATCATTTAAACAAAATTTATCTGGTATGGATGCCATTTCTAGCACACAGTTTTTTCAAAGCGAGAACCGAGAAGGCAACAAAAACGACGTTGTTTAGGTGGTTTTTGGTTCTGATCATCAATTTTGATCATATATATATAATACCTGGGCTGTGAAGCCGACTCGTTGTGGTGAGTGTAAGCCAATTGGACGTTCGCGCCGATCTGTACGGTCACCGCCGAAGCGTTAGTTCCGACAAACCGGTTCACCAGCGCCTCCGCCGTGATCTTCGGCGACGGAGTCCGGCTGCCGGCGGCAACCAGCTCGTCCGGCGGAGACATTATCGAGCTGCTGAACACACCCAACATAGTTGCCTCTCTCTCTCACACACAAACACACTCTTTCTCTCTCTCTATATACGAATCTATATGCTTTATGTCTCTTCGTGTCTACAATGGTGAGGCCTATCAAAGTGGAAATGGAACGAGAATGGGCCTGAAATTTATAAACAGATGGGCGAGGGTATTATTGTCATGTTTGGGGATTTTTCGTAGTGAAAATTACACTCATTTCCATCAGAGTTTACTTCAATTGTACGACGTGCCCTCATAGTTTCAAAGTGTTATTTTTCTTAGGGAAAGTTACACTCACATCTAAATTAGGGTTTACTTCAATTGTATAGATTTTATCATCCAACATTATTAATGGAATCCTTGATTTTTCAAATTATCTTTGTTCATTTTTTTTTGTTTTTTATTATAATATATTTAAGTTTATGCCAACTACTTATTCAAATTTTAAAATCAGTTATCATAACTCGAATTAAATAATTATCCTTGTTCCTTAACTATACATCGAAACATCCAAGCCTCGATTAAGACCAATAGAACCTAGTTGCCATAAAAAGGATGATATCAATAGATCTTGTCAATCTTCTTAACCATTGATTCAAGAAGGGATATATCGCAAAATAGATTAAAAGGGGAGGAGTACAAGTTCAGGACCTATGAGGGGTATAATTAATAATTTAAGTAAACTTCTGGACGTTGTGTTTAATTTTTGAATTTCTTTTTCTATAATATATTTTGTGATATAAATACGCAATGGCCGGACAAAGGGGGCCATGTGGATTGGGACCCACCAAGGGCGATGATAACTGGGTCCGGATGAGAAAAGATAAGCTGGAACGGTGATATTTCTCGATAGTACAACGTAATATCAATAATTAATAATATTAAAATAAATAAAATAAATAATTAAAAGAATTTTACAAAAATTATTAACTAATTTATGCAAATAACTCTCAATCTTCTTCTATATATATGTCTAAATAGAGTTCATCTTACCCCCTGTTTGATTGATTTTTTGAAAGGGGTTTGGAATATGTTGTTTAAACTCTTTCAAATCTAATCTCCTTTTTATAAAGCCATATAATTCTTACATGTATTTTAAAATTTTAGTATTTGTTGCCAATTATGCCATGAACACTAAATTGATCATATTGGAATGTGTCCCCATCAATAAATAGTGGGGTGATTAAAATCTAAAAAAATTCAAAGAAAAACATATTGAAAATTTTAAATTTTATGAATGGTACTATCGTCAATTTGAGATTTGAATAGTAAAAGTCCGCCAAGTTTTGTTTCTGGCAATAGAGATGTGAGACAGAGAGAGAGAATAGATATCTCAATCGTACTAGATAAAATGGGTTTATGTCAGATTTTAACGAGTTTGTGTCAAAAAATTTATCGCCTATACTCATTTTATTATATTAATTTATGTCTAACAAGTCGTGTCATATTGAAGTCGTGTTGTATATCAACTGTGTATAACTGATATATAAACGAGTTTTGTCGTGTATTTTTTTTGAGCAATGCTATTGAGACCTAATTTACTGACATAATTGACTTTTCCTATATCTGATTCGTTTTATTAATTGTGTCATATTATATCTACTCGTTTATATAATAAATGACTTTAAAAAAATTTAAATTTTTTAATTTTGTATCGTGTTAACGAGTATTTTAGTCTAAAGGTTTCTTAGAATTTTCAAACTCAATTGTGACTATATAGTCTAAAGGTTTCTTAGAATTTTCAAACTCAATTGTGACCATATAGATGATCATGACGTCGTCCTTAGCGGAGAAAATGACACGCAACAAGGCAACTGAGAAAGTCGAGAGTACAATGAATATCAACACAAATAATGTTGATAAAAGTCAGTATTGAGCATGTAGGAAATGAATATGAGAATAAAATTAAACAAACCCACATGCTATTTTTTGTATAATAATGTTATCCGAATCTAATTTTTTTTGATAAAATTCATAATTGTCATTAGATTAGCAGTTCACCCTTGTCTATTATCGGATTGCTTCGTTAATGCAATAATGTTAATAGAGTAGTCTAGAATTAGTTTTAATTATCATTAGTCTTACTTGGCTTGTGGTTCTAGAAAGAGGGTCAATGTAGTCATGAGCTAGACTAATCTAGGTGTGAGAGAACAAACTCAAGTAACTCTTTTACTCTTGATGTTCCATTGTAATAGAAGGGTCCTACCTTCATAACTCCAAAACCATGGACGGCCCTAATAACACTTTAAAATTTTAAGTTTAAGTAGTTGTTTGTGGGTATAGCCATCCGAACGCGTAGGAGTGAAATTTGGGTGGAGCAACTCGAATTCAATTTTAACTCAATTCGAAAAAATAGGGCTTGAGATGATGTTATTAATACTTGAGTTAGGTTTGAGTAGAAAAAATCAACACGAAATAAATTTGGATAGTGCTGAGGCTAAGACCTCGGGTAACCAGTTCAACCAGAATATATTAATCAGGCTCAACTCGAATTCTAAATCGGATTCAATCCAACTATATAAATTGGGCTTAAATCGAATTCTAAATCGAGCTCAATTCAAACATATTTAGAAATAAATATATAAATTAATATAATAATATAACTTATACGTTAAAACACTAGGGATCAGTTTTCTAGTTCAGTTTTATGTTAAACATTTGACTTCTATGTTTTTATATTAATATTGATTTACATGCTATGATCATTATATTAAATATTTGATTGAAGTTGTTGATTGTTATTTTAAGTGAATACTATGTAGTATCTACTAGGTTTAGAACAACATGTTAATTTTGGCCTTAAATGAATTCAACTCGAATTCTAACTCGAAATTAGCCCAAATTACATAACTCGAACCCAACTCAAATTCTAACCCAAAATTTGGTCGAATTACATAACCCGAATTCAACATGAGCTCGCGCAATTTAAACTGAGACAATACTCAAGTTGAATAGCTCGAGTTGAGATAGGATTAAGATTTGGATTAAAATTGAGAATTATATACCTAGAACTAGGGTTAAATTAGAATTGACCATTCAACCCGTCCAACCTATCCCAATTGCACTCCTAAGGACATGTTACTTAATAGCACGGAGGGGATGTAAAAAGATGTGATTTGGTTATCGAATCTTGTTTGGTTGCTTTTCAAGTGTAGTTAGAGAGTCGTCACAATTTTATTTTATTTTTAGTCAAGGTGTCTAGATTTGTTTACATGCATCTTGTCTAATGTTCTCCCTAATCCGCTCAAAAGTAAAACATCAACGTCAGAATTAGAGTATTCATGAGAAATAAATTTTTTATTGCTTGATTTCAAGGGATTACTAAGATTCGAATTTAAAATGTCTGAATTTATAGATCGTCTTTATTACCACTTGAATTACCTATTTGGATCGAGAGTCATCACAATCATCCATCTTGAACTAATAGTTACTGGTAAGTATATTTGAAATGTGTACAATCTTTTTAAGACTCGAATTTGGAAAATCAATTTATTAACTACTACAATTCACTAACTTCACAAGTTCCTTTTCAATTGTATTGTACATATATATGAGGATGAAGTCAAAAATTTTGAAGTAAGATGGCCGATTCAAAGAAAAAGAAAACTATACAAGATCCAAAAAAAGAGGGCCAAACCAAATAACTTCTCAAAATTTCATGAAAATCTTAACATGGCTTTTTTTTTTTTTTGCTACGGGTGTCTAGACTTTTTTTTATCGTGACTTCGTCACTGTGTACAAATGTCTTAAAGACTACTATTTTTTTAAATGTTGATTTTTTAATTTTTTTTTTATGTTATGTGGAGTTAGTGAGCATTTTTTTTGGGCATGATTGGTAAGATCCAACCTTTTAAACAGCCAAAACTGTGGCTGTGCCCATGTTTTTCTTTGTTATGATAACAAATCTCAGCAGCTGTTTATGGATCTAACCATGAATGCCCATGTTACAAACAAGTACTAAATGAAAAATATATACTTTTGTTAGACATTTCTACAACTTTATAGGAGACAAGCAGCCAAAATATTCTGAATGCTGAGTGATATCTTATCTTAAAGTTATGAATTCTTCCCCCTTGATGTCATTCCTAGTCATGACTTGTACCAAGGAGAAAAAAATATTTAGTAGATATATACCAATTGACTTTTTGGAATCAAAGACTTCTTTGGCAATGCTTAAAAATTGGAATTAGGGAATATAATTGAAAGTAACATTTTTTTTTTAATGTATGACAGTGTTTCTTTTTAGCATTTGTTCAAAATTATTTTTTGGGTATTTTTTTTTTTTGGGGCAGGACAGGGTGGGGGCGGGAGAAAGAGAGAGAGAGCTGAATCCAAACTACTGATCCAAATTCTCATCGCTCCTTCATAGGTAAATTTGAATTTTGAATGTGCATGACATATGATGCAACTTATATAGTTAAGAAAAAAAGGAAAAAAAAATAAAAAATAACTTATATAGTTACACATTGTTGAGTATTTTTACTATATTTTATAACTTTTTTCTCCCCCTTAGTGTGGAATATAAAGGAGAGGATGTGTTGGCCAAATGGCAAAAAGTGGAAACTAAGTGTAAAGATAAAAATAAATAAATTAAAAGGGGAGTGAATATAAAAACATAAAATCATGTAGTTATAAGATGTAAAAATTGATAAAGTTTCACAAGTTGTTGATAGTGAAAGCCGAGCCCATTGTATGGCAGTGGCCCATGGTATGGGAACTTGTCAATTGTGACTCATCTTTATTCAATGAAAGATGGATAAGATGGGGTGGTCCTCATCTTGTCTATTATGATCTCTCCCTTACAAACACCATCATACTCTTTATTTTGTTTTGGCACATCTATATCTTTCCCATTAATAATGCGAGAAGATAGATATAGTGTGCTCCCCATTTATTGATAGTTAATTAGTAGTAATTAATTTCTAAGAAAAAATATTTTTTTAGTCCTCAAAGAATGTGCGCAGTGTCTATTTGATTCTCAATCTTTC